AAATAGAGAAAGACATGCGAAGAATGAATGAAAATTGGACAGAACTAGAAAGGGAAGCCCACGACAGAGTTGGTTGGAGAAAACTGGTGGGCGGCCTATGCTCCATTGGGGGTAACAGGCTTAAGTACGTATGTAAGTAAGTAATTGTTTCACATTGTTATTTATGCACTCCTGTCTGAATATAAACAACGAACTGATATTTCAGAGGTCGACCTACCAAGAGATCCAATTGTAGCACAAATGACACTTCTGATTGGTTAAGAGGCTTGTAGACTGTCTTCTGACCACCTTAAGCGACAAAACAAGTATGTATAGGATGCGATTCTTGCACTTTAAATGCAAAATGTGTCAGGAGTGACTTGTGTCGCTGCCTGAATGAACAGTAGACAGTGAAGAAATTGAACGTCTCGATTGTTTCACTTGTCTTGAGGTTCTTATCAGTCTTGATTATCTGGTGTCTGATTAAATCTTGGTATGGATGCGGAAGACTCAACTGTTCTTATCAACACGCGTTGTTGGTCTAGATATCCGTTTGGAGCCAAAGGACGAATGTACTTCTAATAACATATTTCGTACTTCAGTCAGTCAGTGGCAACGTAGAACAGCGTACGTATGTACATAAGTTCATGTTGCCATACCACATTAGCACAGAAATGCAAATGTCAAATCAAATCCCACAGTGATAAAGATAGTAGAGGTTTTAATAGTAATGAAGAAGATTAGGGTTTGAAGACATTATTCAACAAGTATAATTCAGTGAGATAAGGTTAGAAAGACAAAGGTAGAGGTGCAGACGATTCAAGAAGATTGGTTAGTAGTGGTTAGCCATACGTGACACATGTCCCAACCACCTCAACTGATGAAGTTCCACCACTTCATCTATTGATCTGCCATCCTTACCTAGTACTCGTTTCCTAACGACAGCATTGCTTACTCGTTTGTCCCACGATATACAAGCAATGCTTCTTAAACATCTATGATCGAATACTAGTAACCTACGAACATCTACTCTTAACGGCCGTTTCACAGCCATATAAGATAACGGAAGGAACTGCTGCGCAGTACACCAGTCCTTTGGTTAGCGAACGGATATCACGACTACGCCATAAGTAACGCAGGTTGGCAAAAGCCAATCGAGCCTTCTGTATCCGAGCTGAGATTTCGTCAGTCACCAGGCCATCGGCACTGATGAGACTCCCCAGATAAGTGAAGTGATCAACACGTTCGACTACTTCACTCCCTATCACTAGTTCAGGTGCCGATGCAACTCAGTGTTGATGCAACATTTTGCATGCTCGCATTGTTGCTTATGGTAGTCAGAAGACTCTGCATTTTGTCAGCGTCTTCACCGAATAGAACTATGTCATCGGCATATTCTAGATCAGTAAGCGACTTTCCTGGTAGAAGGTCAACCTCTGAAAAATCTGACGAGCTTAATGTTAACTCTAAGAGGATGTCTACGACAAAGTTGAACAAGAATGGAGAGAGTGGACAGCCCTGACGGACACCACTTGATGTAGAGAATTCAGATGACAGTTCGCCATATGCTCTCACCCGACCAGTGGTGTTCGAGTAGAGTGCTTGTATAAGGTTAATGTACTTCTTTGGTACACCTTTCAATGACAGACACTACCACAGAACCTCACGATCCACTGAGTCGAATGCCGCTTTTAGGTCCAGGAACACGACTATTGTCGGACGTCTAAATGTGTGTCTGTGTTCCAGGACCTGTCGTAGTGTGAAGATGTGGTCTATACAACCACGTCCAGGTCGAAAACCAGCCTGGTTTTCTCGAGTCTGCTCTTCACGAGCTCTAGTTAGACGTCTAAGTATAATCGTACTTCTCTTAACAATCAGTTACACTACTGAAGTGACTGATTATTTCTCTTGTTACAGTCTGATAATAACATTTTTTATTCTCTCTTATGATATTAATTCTCTACTCGAATTTTTCCTCAAGTTCTTCCTCTCTCTTTTGATTGGTTTTCGCTTTAAATAGTTTTCCAAGAACTGCAGTAACCTGAATCGGTGAATATTGTACATATTTGTGTCATTTTGATAGATTTTAAACTTAGTTATCGAAAAATAGTCACTGACCGGCACATGGTTTTGTTTATATCATCTAGAAGATTGTTATGGTGTCGGAGACAGGTGACTTCATAGAATGTTACGAGGCACTACACCTGCTATGATTCTTTTTTTTTTTGAAAAAAATATACTCATAGACTGATTAAGAGTTCTTGTAATTTAAATCTGAAGATTTGATGACGTTAATTTAGTTCACTTTATTATTGTCAAGAGAGAAAGAACAAAAATTTCAGCAGAACAACAAATTCATTTTAGTTCGTAAGATCTTCGTATCAGCAGCGTACAACGGATAATATTTTTAAAACAAAATTATCATACTTATAACAGTGAGGTTGATCAGAGGTAGATATATATAATTACGATGGAGTGGCAATTCCAATAAATGTCATAAGACGAAATATAAAACGTGTTATAAATGTGATATACGAATGAGGTCTGCCAATCACAACGTAGAACTTCGTACGTACGTACGTCAGTTCAGGTTGTCATATCGCCTTAGCCCAGAGACGCACCTGTCAGTTCAAATTCCAAAACGGTGGACATAGGAGAAAAATTATAGGGAATGAAGAATATTAGGGTTCGAAGGTATTATTCAAAAAGTAGAATCTAGTGAAATAAACCTAAAAAGACAAAGATTAAGTGATCAGTAATTCAGAAGGTTAGGATTTCATAGGACTAAAAGAATAAATGCACCTATCGTCTCGCGGACCTCAACCACGTAGCCTGCATTTACCAACATGACAGTCCACTTGTTAGTAACTTCATGGATTTATGCCATATTTTGATTTGGTCGCCCCTAGCTTTCTTTCAACCTACTCCTACACCACAAAACATAGCTCGACGAGGCAGTCGGTGGTTAGGCATACGTAACACATGACCCAACCACCTCAGCTGACTGCTTCATCTATTGGTCTGTCATCCCTACCTTGTACTCGTTTCCTGACGACAGCATTGCTTACTCGGTTGTCCCAGGATATACTAGCAATGCTTCGGAGACACCGATGATCGAAGACTAGTAACCTACGGAAGTCCTCTACTCTCACGGACTATGTTTTGCATCCGTATAGTAGGACGGAGCGAAATGCTGCGCAGTACACTTGTCCTTTGGTTAGCCTGTGCCATAAGTGATGCAAGTTGGCAAAAGCCAACCGAGCTTTCTGTATCCATGCTCAGATTTCGTCAGACTCCAGACTATAATTGTTATTAGTAGTACTGATGAGACTTCTGAGATAAGTGATGCTGTCGACACGCTCGACTATTTTTTATTTTTTAGAGATTAACCCTGAATATACATTTTAAGACAGGACTTAATTCAGTGGCTTTAAACCGTAGTTTTAGGATTATGAGAAATATCACTTTGTTGGCGATAATTATTGACAATACAATTAACGATTTAGATTTGATCTGTTAATAAGTTTAACTTGCTCTCGTGCAGTGGATTCACTTTTATGAAGAGAACGCGGTTGGTTTGATAGGAACATTTATTATTATAACTAACTGTACGAGTGATTGTTTTACTAAACTTCTCCGTTTATATCACTCTGCACGCACAAACTTTCTGTTTGTGTTGCTGCCATTTCGGCTCCACTATTCTCCGTAATTTCGCGCCTCTTTTCTGGCACGATTTTGGTATTCTTTCGATACCACGAAGTCGCCAGCAAATATGTTCTTTAAAAATGGATTTATTTATCTTCTCTGTGACGGGCTAGTAATAAGTATTTAGTGGTGATCATAGTCAATCTCGACTCGATAGCCACTAAAATTGGTGAGCTGGCGTTTCGTCCAAGAAATCAATTACGATGAGTCTATTATTATCTATCACCATTTTTATCAAGTTACATTACTATTATTTATGTCGTTTAATATGTAATACCTGCAACAACTTTTCGAAATGGTGGATAGTTATAATATAAGAGTCCGAGTTGCAGATCATTGCATTTTCATCTGTCTCCTTACTGTCACCCCAGGTTGCTCGTTTATGTTACGCGGACGATTACTGAACTAACGCTAGGTATCTGGTGGACAACGGTTCCTAAGTTTCTGTTTCATTGCCTGGTAGCAGCAATTTTCAAGCTATAACGCCTTGTCTGCAGGCTGCGAACGGCTCTGTCATTCTTACTACACGATAGCTAACGATCAACTTGAATAATCGACGACGTGCTGA